GCCACATTTTTCCCTTGCATCCCGGTCTCCCGCCCACAGGAGGGCAAACAGGGGGATTGCGTGCATGTGCGTGTGGATGGCCATGTAAAAACTCACGGAAATTCAAAGAAATACGGCACGCAGAGCGACCCCGCCCACGGATTGGAGGCTCACTCGTACACCGCAGCAGGAAGAACAAACGTCCTCTCGTTCCTTTTCTGAGAGGCCGATTCATTACCACCACGCCACCTCAACAGCGTATACCGGCGAGCGGTGGAGATGACTGCTCAATCGCCCTTCATGTCGGAGGCGCTCATAACGTCTCCCTGCGGCCACTCGCCCTCAGCAACAAGCCGCATGGCAGAACGCAACACAATTCACCCACTCGCCAATTAAATACATAAAAATGCATCTCGCCGCCATAAAACGGCCATCAACATCCATTTCACGGCAGACACCAAGTGCCAAGGGATTGACTAAGAAAAACAAACACGCGTATGGTCTCCCACAATACATTCCAGCAAAGGATGGTCTCTCAAGCCTGAAAATAAACACCGTAAAGTCATAAAAGCCGCCTCGTCAAGCCAAAAATCGTGTGGTGCCCCTCCTCGCAATGCTCTGCTGTCCGCAGACACCGCCCTCTGTGGTGTTTCAGCAAAAGCGAAAGAAGAAATGTTCACAAACCAACAGCAAGAGAAGCCTCCACACGCAACGTGTGCATCACCGTGGAGCATCGCTTCTATCCCTGTAAGTAAAAGAGACCCCGTCACATCATCCGCAAGGATCGCCACAAACACGCCAAATTGCGAAGTACGCAACACGCTCCGCCGGGACCATCGTTTTCCCGATAGGGCAGCCCACTTCCGTCCATTGTGTCTGCCGAGCAGGACACACCAGGCCTGCCGCTGCAACGCAAAAAAGATTCAGAAATACGCAACGGATCCCGTCGCAGTCGTTGGCTCAGTCGCCGTGTTGAGGTTTGGGAGGGGTGGATAAAAAAATAAAAACAAAACGTGCAAAGGGCCCCGTGGAATCCCGCATTCCACGCAGTCCCAATGGCCAGAGGGTCCTCTAGGGACGCCTGGGAGACGCATCCGCCACACTCTCACGCACCATCATTCACGGCTCCCCAATCGAGTCCAGCGGGCCTCGTGAAGCACACGGCGCGCCTCAGTGGCGTGGCGAGCAGCCTTCTCGGAGAAAAGGACGCGTGGCGATGGTTCCCCTCCCCGCTTCACTTTTCTTTTCGTTCTCCTCCCATTTTTGGTGGCATGTCACAGAAGGGGAGCGCACTTCATGTCCCTCATCCCTTCTCTCGGTGCACGCACAAAAACAGGGAGGGGAATAATAAACGAGTGAGTCAGGCGGCACGGAGAAATAAATGTGCGGGAGACAAACAAAACAACAGAACAAACAAAGAGCCCAACAGATGTGCACGCAGCATATCCAGCGGAAACGGGTGTCACCTTCAGTGGGCAACTTAGTAGCCAATGGCGGTGTCGATCGCCCACGAAAAGAAACAGCATTGTGCTCACAATACTTTTGGCTTGTTTTCTGCTTCCCTCCCCTTTTATTTCTCCCTCATCCATCATCTCCACGTTTCTTACTTTCTACTTCCCTCTCCTGCCTTCGGCAGCACTGCCAAGTTTGGACGCTGCGCCCTCTCCTCCCCTGTCATGCCAAATATACGTTTGCGCTCTTTAAAATCCACGGCGTACTCGCTTAAATATTAATCGTGTAAATAACCAAACAGAGGTGTAAATTTCTAAAAATTAAGGCAAAACAAAATAAGAAAGCAAAACTTGTGTTTGTTGCCGAATCATCTTCCTTTAGTCCTCACAGGGTACAAAAGCCTCCTGTCGTAGTCAATACTTGGAACTCTTCGGATCTCATCATGCCCGTAGGCCCGAATGCGCTGTATGCGTGCC